AACGAAGAAATAGTAGACCTCTCCAAGTCATCTCTGACAGATGAAAATTTTCGATCATCAGATGTTTTTGACTGCATAGACAGTGGCAGTGTTCTTAGTGGAGCTCCTCCTTTTCTTTGTTCAGCAGCCTGCTCCATTCTCGGATTATTTCTAGGCACAAGCACAGGTATAACTTCTGATCTATTGAATACTGAAATATTGGGTGTTGACTGGACCTTCACAGGATGCCTCTTGGGGGCTGTCACATTGGAAACTGCCATTGAATTGACTTGAGTAGTTCTTGGAACAACACTGAGATTTCCCCTCTGTGGAGTTGCAGCTGTACTTACAGCAGCTTCATGCAGAACATACAACATCAATATATCTTCTCGGCACAGAAAGGAAAATGGACAGACAAAATGACAGAAATCCCAGATCAAGCTGTTAAAGAAGTCTAAAAAAGAATAATCTGAAAAAAGGTTACTAAACTAACCACAAATCAAATGAGATACATTGAATTGTAGCTTACGTGCAAGAGATTTAGAGTCCCCATTCAGATCTGAATTCTGTGAGACAGAAAGCCTTGCAAGAGGTCTAGTTTCCTTCGCAGAATCAGAATTTTGTGAAATGGAAAGCCTGCCTAAATTGCCCTTAATAGTGTCCTCAGTTAGTATGGTTGACCCACCAGAATTAGATTTAGGCTCTGAGTTGCTGTTCAATCGAGCAGCGCTACCAATTTCATATGGTTCAATACGCTGCCAAAATCACATGGTTGCAAAATAATCATCAATTCAAATATCAAATAAGAAGAAGATTAAGAGCAGTGGACATTCTGAAAAAAATAAATAAAAAATAAAAAAATCATACCGATATGTCTACAACCCATACTCCAACACAACTTTGGTTATACGAACATCCAAGAAGCTTCCCTTCATGAACATTCAGATCTGATAATCTAGACCACCCCACATCTACAGTATCATGACATCTAATTGGTTCCCATGAAAAGACCTACGACAACAAAAATTAGTAGAGAAAAAGTGAGACAAACAACAGTACTTCAATCTATTATTTTCTAATAAACATAAAGCATGCAAAAGCATACTTTCAAGTTCTCATGCAAGCCACAAAGAAGGGTTCTTCCATCAGGATTAAAGGTCATACAACGCACTCCTGTGAACTGATTTGAAACAAGTAATCACTAGTTATTTCAAATTCATCAGATAATTAAAAAGGTTAGTTTTATACTTTGAACGCAACAGCAAAGATTTTGGCCCATAATAAGCTGTAAAAAGCAAAGATTAGGAAAAGATATCAATGACATCATAGAAAAGATACCTCAGGCCCAGCTGAACCTATTAGTTCAAAAGTTTCAAGATCCCAGAACTTAACAGTCCTGTCAGCTGAACCTGCCAAAAGAAAGGTCATTAAATATTTATTAGGCGATGATCAGCAAAGGCAACCTCGACTAGATCTAATGGAATATGTGCGTGTGAGTGTGTACATATACATTTACATATGGGTGAAAGTTGATTTTCTATAGCTTCGAAGGAGAAAAAAGGACAGTTGATTCTCAAACACTGTAATATAGGTTCAGGAGTGAGTTTAAATAACGAAGACTTCCAGTTTCCGCCAGTCAGAAAGTAAACATATCAGATTTCTAAGCGAGTTTAAAAAACGAAGACCTCAAGTTTCTTCCAGTCACAAAGTAACCATCTCAGATTTCTATGCGTTTTAAGCCTCAACCAGACATTGAGCGGATAACGAGTGGATATCACAAACTAAGATCGTGATAAGCAGCAACCATATTAAGGGTGATAAAAATTAAATTATTGTACGTAATTTGCAAGCTATTGCGTCAGCTTGAGGGTTTACCCAGTGCGCACTTGAAGGGTAGTGGCTGAGGATTCCCCCGTCAATAAAAAAAAAAAAAAAAAAAAATTATTGTAGCAGACTTCAAGAACAGCGTGATTATGGTTATGAAAATGAATGAAAATCAATGTGACTTCATGAGGGACATAAATGTACAAGGAAGCAGAAGTTTGTATGAAAATATGATGTAGCTTTGAAATCAAATAACAAAAAACTTATTCTCCATATTTCCTCCCTTCACAGTTATGTTAGAACCTTTCAAAAGCTAAAAGGTGAGCCTCATTTTTTTAATTCGTAGTATCTTTATGTTTAGCATCTTGTTTAGGTTATCCAAGTTTACTTGAAACACATGAAGTCAAAAATGCTTTATTGACAGTCTTCTGAAACTCAAAAGCTCTCAAGATATGTAAAATACTCCCCAGCACATAATAATAAACAGGTCTAGGAACATTTTACAGCCTCCTAGAGCTATTTTGGCACTATTTATTGGAATCAAGAAACCTATGGGTTTGAAGGACTCTAGGCAGTAGGCATTAATGCCTTCTCACTTCTTATTCTATCTTCTTCCTATAATATTTTTCATCTTCCACAGTAAGATAAAAATTCAACAAACAGTATCGCACACTGAAAATCCTATTCAGAAAAGCTACTCAAGTCTTATAAAAGGCACAGACCCTGAATCTCAGTTTAAATTACAGATAATTGATAAGTTCTAAAGAATCAAAAAAGGAAAACTTCCAGAGAAATTTCAGAAATGCAATGGTTTACGTATAAAATTGACAAACTATTTCACTGCCTTCAAAATAATGGTTTAAACTTAAACACATGAAGAATGGAGCATAAATATTTCAATATAATCTATACTGATACTAATTGTTTGTAAGAAAAATAAAAAATACAATTGGTTTTAATTTATATTCCTTTAATTTAAAATTACCCTTCCGTCTAGTCTTTGCATCTTCTTAAATGTTTATGCTGTTTTGATGGTATGTGGCACAACTTTGTCAAAACATTATCAGTAATACTACTGTTCAGGGACTTCAACAAGCCCACCATTGTGATTTATCAAATTTTTAAGTTGCTCTACAACCAGAATTATGACATGTACAGTTTCTGAAGTAGCAAATCAAAAGAGTTGTCAGACAGCATTCTATTGAGAACATTAGTTTGGCAGATCTATCAATTCAATGGCTATAGTTTGCCAACCTGTTGCCAGCAAAAATTCATGGGGATGGAAATCAATGCATTGAACCTGGCCCTCATGACTTTTGAACTCATGCAACAGCTTGCCCGCTGTTAAATCCCACAGCTGTACACAAGAATTAATAAGGGCTGAAATCATAAAAAGGCTTTGCACCAGAATTGAAGAAAAGGGGATATAAACAATAAAGTTAAGAGCGCCAATAGATAATTTACATAGACTTATATTAGTATCCTAGCAAAAACATGGCATTTGACCATGTGATAATGACTTCCATGAGGAAAAGAAAGTACAAAAAATACACCAAGATGTATCGCAGTTGAATGTTTCAAGTTCCCCTCTCTCTCCTAGATAAATCACAGGCACAATAATGGGAAACCAAAAGGAAAAAGAACACCAAGAAATTGAAAGATCTAACCTTCACAGTGTTGTCCTCTCCACCAGACACCACCCAGCGGCCATCAGGTGTAAACCTGATGGCATTAACACCTCGTGTATGACCCTTGTATGTATGTAAACACCCTTTTCTTCGAATATCCCATATTTTTAGATTTGTATCCAAAGATCCAGATGCAAGGAACTCCCCAAAGGGATGGAAGTCCAACGATATACAATTGGAGCGATGACCAGTGAGAGTGCGAATAACTATCAATCACACAAAAAGCAAAGTCAAACATAAAGTGATTTTCTTGTGTTTGAAAGGAATGTTAAAATACAACTCATCGTGCATAAATAAATGGGTTACAGAATGCATACTCTTAGCCTCCTCTAAATCCCAAAGCTTAATTGTACCACTTGCAGCTCCAGCAGCTACCAACACCTCCGAAGAATCAAAGCTTACGGAATCAACTCCACTCGAATGCCCGGACAAACTCTAGCCAGTGAGCCAAGGGTACAATAAACAATGAGAAAAGATAAGGGGATAGGTGTCATTCTTAATAATGCTTCTACAAATATCGTGATGGCCAGAAAAGGGGAAAAATAGTTGAATTTTATGAAACAAGAAACTATCAGATACGGCAATCCATAGTTTCATAATGAAACAAGGAGTGGTTCTCTTAAGCTATAAAAAGGTGATGCAGGTATAATAAATAGATTAAGGATCATCCACAGGTTAAGTTATCATATTGCCTGCAAATGGTCATAGTTCGAGTCTTTTAGCTAGGGGTTGTGAAGGGGAAGGCAGTTTGTAAAACCCAAAAAAAGTACAGTATAACATAAGAAGGTTGAAAAAAGGTATAAGAAAACATCAAGGCCCCAAAAAAGAAAATGCAAAGTGAGTATTGAACTCACCTGTATGGCATTGGGCTTTCCAATGGCCCAAAGGTTGACCTTATGATCTTCTCCTCCAGTCACAAGAACCCTTGATGATTTCCTCCCAATCTTTAAGCAGTTCACACTTGAAGAATGAGCAACAAATTCCTCTGAATATACCATTAAGGGTACCAAACTAACACTTAAGCTATACCTTTAATTGTCATCTCTCATTGTGACATATGCAATGTTAACACAGCCGAGGCCAGATAAACCAGAAGCTGCACATATTTCCGTTGTTTCTCAGTGATTCAGAGATTGTGATGATCTTATTAAAGGGCAACCTAGCTAATTTTAAAAATGGTTTGACTTCAAAAAATTTTCGTTCATCTACTCAAAATCTTGCAGCCATTCCAGTTTGATTTATTCATATTTGTAAACTGTTTCATTCACTGGCTTCCCGTTAGCCATTTGCCAATATCAATTCTTAGTTATCCCCAATCTTCTATGCAGTTAATTTCAAATGCCTAATCACTAAAGCATCCAAAAAAAAAAAAAGAAGAAGAAGAGGGAAAGGAAACTCCAATAGAATAGAAAAATAAATATCCACTTTGGTATTTACTCATTCCATACAATTAATTCCTAAACACAACTCTTCGACTTAAGCACACTATCAAGAGAAGTCTTTGGTAATTTTATAATAGACGTAGTAGCATCAATAATAATAAATTTAATAATTGGAAACAAAATAATGTAATAGAGCACACAAGTTTCTTTCCTCTAGATCCATTCAAATTCACCGCAGTTTCCTTTTCTCGATTTGAATTTAGAATTCGAAAAAAATTAATTAGAAAGTTAGAATGAAGTAAAAAAGGATACGTAGCTTATAAGCACGTTTGGTGGTGGTCGTCATTTGCAAGTCTAAACAATCCGGGGTGGGGGGGCGGGGGGAATACGAGACGGCAGAAAACCCCTAGCACAAACTCCAGCTCTGCAGAAATGGGGACGACGCCGTAATACTGTGTTGGCTCATTTCAGATCTCAAAAATGCACTTGCCCGCACTTGCATCGATTTGAAATCTTACACTTTTGCTCTGCGTTCACGCCATATCACGAAAGTACTAATTTACTGTGAAGAAATGAGCCCAATCAGTCCGAGAAATCTTTGAATCTCTTTCAGTTTTCTTTAATTTTTACTCGAGGAAACGGAAAATATGAAGTTGTAAGAGTGGCTTGAGAAGCAAAAAGTATGAATTTGTGAAAGATATTAAAAATCAAAAAAGCACAGAGATAAAGAGGTGGGAGGAGGGTGGGAGAAGAAGAGAAATTGTTTTCAAGATCCCTGCTTCATAATCACAGAAGACAACAATAATAGTTATGTCATATCTTAAAACTTCAAAAAAAAAAAAAGTTCATTTGAAAAACAATCATAATTATTTATTAGAATTTCCATTTAATGCTACATTTTGATTTTTTCTTAGGTAATAAAATTACTGCACTAAGTCACTCGCCTACGGAGTTAGAAGTAGCAACACCGTCTCTTAAGTCTAATGCAATCCTAGATGCAACTGCCTTAGGTAATTAATACAAAATATTTATAACTTCCAGTGTTATTGTGTAAAACGTTCATATCTTTTATTTTTTGACACTTTTATTCCTATTTTCTCCTTTTATTGCAAAAATCATCATTTCATCAAATTTTTCGTGTAAAATAACAAATATACCCCTTATTTAAATAAAACCACAAAAAAAAAAAAATTAAAGAATAGATTGCAATCACATTCCCAAACTTTTTCAAAAAGCGCAAATGGATCCAAATAAATTATTAAAATGGTAATTAGTATAAAACGTCCATACCTTTCATTATTATTGTACAAATATCCCTACCTTTCATTTTTTGACATTTTTAATCTTATTTTTATATTTTATTGCAAAACTCATTATTTTCATCCATTTTTTCAATTAAAAGCTATAAAATAATAAATATACATTCCTCTTTAAATAAACAAAAATAAAGAAAAGAAAAATGACGAACAAATTGCAGCTATAGTCCCAAAATTTTAAAAAAAATAAAAATAAAATTCAAACAAAGAATTAAAAAAATAAAAAAAACTTTTTTAAAATTATTTATTTGGAATTCATTTATACTTTTTTGAAAATTTTGGAAATACAGTTGCAATTATTTTTATTTAAAGAAGAGTGTATATTTGTCATTTTACAACTTTTAATTGAGAAAATAGATGAAAATAACGATTTTCGCAATAAAATATTAAATAGGGATGAAAATGTCAAAAAATTAAAAAGTATAGACGTTTTGTGCTAATTACTCTTTTAATAATTTATTTGGACTCATTTACACTTTTTAAAAATGTTTGAGAGTATGATTGCACTTTATTCTTTAACTTTTCTCTTTATTTTTATTGTTTTATTTAAATAAGTGATATATTTGTCATTTTACATGAGAAATTTAATAAAAATGATGATTTCCATAATAAAGTATGAATGTAAGGATAAAAGTGTCAAAAAATAAAAGATATGGACGTTTTACACAATTGAAATGTAAGAACATTTTGTGCTAATTACCTCAACCACCGTCGTCTTGACTTATTAAGGGCCCGTTTGGGATGGTTTTTGAAAAGCCAAAAGGAGCTTTTGAGAGCCAAAAGCCGCTTTTGGACCGTTTGGCTATTTTTGTTTAAAGTGCTTTTGGAGGTTAGAAGAGCTTTTAGAGGAAGCTGGTTTTTTTTTGCTTCCTCCAAAAGCACTTCCGGAATGGGAAGTGATTTTAAATATTAATTTTCAAACAAAAATTAAAATAACTTTCTCCAAAAGCTCTTCTACAAGAAGCAAAAGCTAAAGTAAAAGTCGTGCCAAACGGGCCCTAAATCACAAGTCTACTAATTAAGGCTCTATTTGACTCACATTCTTTCCAAAAAAAAAATCATTTTTCAATAATGATTTAACGTCATTTCAACCACACATTCTTCTATAAAATAATATTATACGTGAATATAAAACTTTTTCTGTATTTTAACCACACATTTTTTATCAATACACTATTCAAAAGTATATTATTGTGAAAATAATGTGGTTCAAACAAGTTCTAAACAAATGATAATTGATGTAATATATCGTTACATTTCATTTTTTATGCAATACTCCCTTAGATCAATCAAACATTGTGGAATACAATCTTTTTGTCTTTTTTTCAATAAATTTTGTAAAATGATGCATTTATCTCCTCTTTAAATAGATTTTAAAAATTAATTGTAATAATCCCAAATATTTCAAAAATTACAACTAGTCCCAAATAAAATAATTAAACATTTGTTTTGGTCACATGAATTGACCACAAATATTTTCCTATCATTTTGTGTGAAATTGCAATTGTGACCTGAAATGTTGTATGATTATGAATTATGTGACTATAACTCTCAATCATAAAGTTATAACAATATAAAATGTCAAGTATGTATGTACAATTTAAAATGTGATTTAAGACACGAGTTTTTGGAAAATTGTCATTTCGTATGAAGATCGCCCTTATGTTGTGTGACTGTGGGCTATGAGTTCGGACGATTTTTATCTAAAATATTTCTAATATGTTATGCAACTGTGACATAATTACGTTATATAATTATGACTTGCAAAATTGCATATTAGTGACAATTTTAATTTAGCCTATGTTTGAGCTCAATTTGCAATTTTAATTTAGCCTATGTTTGAGCTCAATTTATTATATAAAAAAAACAAAAAAACAAAAAAAAAACTTATTTTTTCAAATCTCATTATCAATCACGCATTCTTTTATAAAATTAGTTTACACGTAATCTCATTTTAAAATCTATCTTTCTCCAAAAAAAAAAAAAAGGCTTAAATGGGGACTTAAAGAAGAAGCTATGAGTTAGCTACATTTTTATTCACTTCTTAGTTGCACTATTGTATTGCTGCATATCACTTCATAATAATTTTTACATTTATTTTATGTTAGTGTTTTATATAAAGAGAGTTTTAAATATAGGTAGGTTCGCTAATTATTTTAACTTGGAGTGCCCTTTTGGCGTGATGTGATCATTGTATTTTGAGAGACAAGTGCAGAAAATCATTAGGCACATGTGCAAAGCATAATCATCTTAAGGAAAAGAGTCTAATTCAGGTCTCAACAAGATAATTCTTTGGATTATTTTTTCCCAACATTTCTTGTAAATAAATTGTATTGATATTTTTTGCAAATAAAATTAAAATATAATTTATGGGCAACTTAACTAAAACAAATAGAAGTTAAGTGAGTACATCGAAACAAATTAAAGTTTGTTTACTAAAATGAAGTTTATATTAAATTTTTAATGACCAATAGTTTTTTATTTTATCGATTTTTTCTATTACACATTTGCAATCGTGCTATATATAAAAAGATTTTTACTAGATAGTTTGACAGATTGACAATTGGCACAATTTAAGATAAAAACAATTCTAAACGAGCCAATTCAGTGTTGCCATCTCATTATATATAAAAATGCATGTACATTTCATCTGTACAAAAGAGCTTGATTCTACACAGTTATTTGGTTGGAAATGGCAGTTGTTGACCCCCCAAAAATAGATCTCAACGTGGCTAATAGAAAGCAACTCCACGTATATTCCTCCTTGTACACTTGGCACAAACAGTCGATAGTTCATGGCCATTCTCGACGATGTGTTTGCAGTCACAAACATTCTGGCGATCAAGTTAGTCGATGATAATTGCACACAACTAAGTCCGATAGTGAGGACCGTCAAACTTTCTATATTATCTCAAGTGGGAAGAAAAATAGTAGTTACTTAAGTTGTGAAGTTACCTTACCTTACAAAGGTATTTATAGAGAATAAGGTGGAGGAAGAATCGTTGGATGGAAAACGCGTGGCTTCATTTGCTAGTCCGAAGTGTCTTTTCATAAAAGTCCATCTATCACTTCATCGGTGGGCGGGCATTTAATGTTCTTAGATTCGAATTGACACATTGGCATCTGTTGCAGAGATGTCACATCTATTATTCATAAGATTTTATTTTGGACAGATCCTTACCTAAAAGATCAGTATCTTATGTCGAAGCCTGGACTCTAACCAACAGGGTTATGTTATAGGAGTTGCGGCTCAAATTGTTCACACGATGTCGTTTGCTTCATACACAATGCTATCAACTTCGGATTCTACCTCACTTTATGCTGGTATATTGCTTAGGCATTTAGGCGCCTCAAAGTGTGGCCTATGTTGATGACCTGGTCAGTCGTTATAGGAGGTGTAATAGCAACGATGACTCAAAGTCCATTGCAATCTACATGTACATATCATTATGTGGTTCACATCATATGAGCATTAGCATTTACTACACAATACAGATTTGACTTTGCGTCTCATCTAAGTCGAAACCTAGGTAAAAGACAACCTATTTTGAACCAAAATTTTGATGATGGCCATTTCGAATTCAATCGACTGGCCATTATCTTCAATAGACACAACTCTCTGAGTAACCAAAAATCTCGCAATCCCACCTCTACTATACCTCTAAAACTAAGAACTTTACGTTGGGTAGTGCACTCAAAAAGTATAGTTGCCTAATCTTTCTAGTCCGAGTGTTCATCATTGATATTGAAAGATATGACAACCAATGCCGCTTCTCTTATTGAGATCAGCTTGAAACTGCAACGCAATTTTCAGGTGCCTGGTTCTGATGAACTCAATGTTGTAATATGAAATGTGTTTGGATATTTTCAAACTAAACAACTAGCACACAATTACTATGAGAAAGCCAAAACAAAACCAGATTTCACTTCTAAAAATTTGCCGTTAAACTTCTCATTAGGTACTTAATCAGTTTGCATATATATAGCAACACTATTGTTTAAGACTTCGAGTTTGCAATGAAAGGCTATAACAGTTTACATATGTGTAGTAGCGCTATTATGTTTGTACGCGCAAATGAAATGTTTAAGCGTTGTTTAGGATCATTCTTGTTGCTATCACGTAATGGAAGATTGTCTTAGAATGAAAGAGCTGTTACAATATTTCAAGAATTCAATAATGGAAAATATGAAGTTCTCTAGAAAATTCACAACAAATGAAACCTAGAGACTGTTAGTTCTGGTTACATAATAATTGCTTAAATCTAAAGTGTAGATCCAGGCATTCGGTGAGTTATCTCTTTTTTGGTGTGGATGGTATTATTCCTGAGCTGAAGTGATGCTTATTTGGATTTGGCTTACTTTTTAACTGATAAGTAACACTATCTCAGTTTAAAGAAAATATCAATGATGCTCTATTCTGAATAAGTTACTATTAAACAAAGATTATTATTATTATTATTATTATTTTTGTTCATAGCCACTTGATGG